GTTAGATAAGATGGCTGAGGTTCGTCTCAGTCTCTAGACTTTTAGTATCTATGGGCCCCAATAATTAGGCATTTATGGTTCTTTGGTATAAAGCTGAAACTCCTCCAGTTTGGTTTTCAAGAATTTTGCGTTGCTTTGTATATAACTAGGGTTTTTGCAAAGAAAATAGGTTCTGATTTGTTGAGGTTGTAAGTATGCTTATGGGTTCGTTCCACATCACATTATTAAGTAGCTTTGCATTTTCATCTACTGTGTAATCTCCTTGGGGAAATCCTGCAATGTGGATTGAGCAATTCAAGAGATGGAAAGGCATTTTATTGAAAAGCTTATGGATGGGGATGGGATCTGGATTTCGAATGCACATCCCCTTCTGAAAATTTTATAATAGTTTTTAGTACTGTGAACTCATTAAAGAAGGCAAAGTCAATTAGATTTGCTACAACTTGACTTTTGTTCAAGGAGAAACACTGATCTGATGTTCAATTCTATAGTTGGAAATGCATGGTGGTCCTAACTTGTCAACCTATTATCTCTAGCATCTAAACTGGTAGTGTTTTACTGGAAAAAATATATAGGGGTACCTTTCTTTCTCTTAACCTAATTGCGGAGGCAGAATATCTGACATGAGACAATACATATGTTTGTGATTGGTTCATGATTTCTGTTGATTAGGGAAAAAAATGGATACTAAATGTAATCGTATGGTTATGCTATCTTCCCCTCTTTATAGAGCAACATGTTTGCTTGTTAAGGGGGTGGCGGTTCTAAATATAACTAAAGATCTTATTTTATTTTTTAAAGTCTTTTGTTAAAGTGTCGCTGAGGTGGCCAAGATTGAGGGTTCGTGCGTCAAACAAAACCAAACAAATGGAAGTTAACAAGTAAGTAAAGACTGAGGAGCAGTGAAAGAAAGGAGTTTATGTCCGTTTTTTCCGTTAGTATTAGTTAATGTTAGTGAGTGAAGTGAGCACACGTGCAGGTACGGTGCCGTACATAACAAGCGAAGAGAGCAGAGTCTAGAATCCAGAGTGTGTTCGATTAACGCGTGGGAGATAGGTGGCCTCTGTCTTAATTAGTCTTGTCTTGTCTGCGGTCCCACTCTTTTGCTTAGATATCATCTTGCTTGTGACAATTAATGGTAAACCAGATATATCAATCCAACAAAAACGATCATGTGTAGCATCTTCAACAACCCATGGACGGGTTGCTTCGAAGAATAGCATAAGTGTAGAACTAACCTCCTCTAAACACCATAGCCTTGAATCGATAGATTCAAAAGTAATCAGAGTTTCTGTACTTTCAAGAAATCGCAACTGAAATAGGTCAAGACCTATGTCCTTAAAACTTGATTGTAAGTAAACATAATTCACCCCATCTGAAATAATTCCTATCATGCTTCTCTTTACCCCCTCCAAATTCGCCTCTTCTTTCTGATAAAAAAAACTACCTTTTTATTCGTATTAGAATTGTCACAATTTGTTCCTTCAGGACAAACCACTTCTGCATAAGGCCTCATATCTCTCAACTTCATCGCCATCAAGGGGGTCTGCCTCACTTTCTCTACTGTCTTTGTACCTGGCAAAACAAGTTCCTTTCTAAGCCCCATATTTTCAAATCGCGATAAGTTAACCCTTAATTTGAAGGATCCAAACCATATTTCGTTCAGATAATGCAGTAAGATATCTAACTTTAAGTCAGATTCCAGCCGAACAAAACCAAATCGTGAACCAAGCTTAGTAATTTTATTAGCGATAAATAAATCCTTAACCTTACCATACTCTATGAAAACCTTTCACGAAGACCTTGAATCAATCCAATGTCGAACCATTCAAAATAATTTATGTACTGAAGAGGTATAAAAATCTGTTGGGTTCTTCGTTGAGTAGGTATGAGTGTGTTTAGGGCTAGAGACGAGGTGAGGGTTTCTGTTTTCTAGTGTAGGGAGATTCTGTGATGGGAAAAGAATAGGTTGTTTAGGGTTTTTTGGTGGGGAAAGGTAGGTTGTCTAAGGTGTTTGGGTGGTAGGGGAAGAAGGGGAAAGGTTTTTGCAGAGAGCATTTTCTCTCTAAGGTCTTTGCTTTGACTTTGCAGTTATTGTCGATGGAGAGATTGACAGGAGGATCTTTGAACTATTGGTGCCAGATTCCTGGGCCACGGTTGATTTTGTGGACAAAGGTTTTTCCTTACTTAGTGAGGTGAGTGAAGAAGAAGAGATCTTCACCTTGGAATTTGAGGAAAAAGTTCCAGATTTGACAAGGTTCTCTAGCAAAGAGATGGCAATCTATATCGACCATTGGCAATGGTGAAGAGATCAGGGTTAGTGATCTTGAGATAAAGATAAAATCATACTAATTCTTAATGATCGAGGCAAAATCGATAACCATAAGGGATTTTAGGGGTTATTGTTTCTAGGGTTTGTGACTGGGAGTGTAGTGTATTTTGTAATGACTTCATAGTCATTGTATGAGTTACTCATCAGAATATAAGAAAGATAAGAGGAATAGGTGTTTAATGGCTTGAAGGATATTTTTACATAGAATGAGGTAAACCGTGGTTCCAATTTGAAGGAAAAGAAAAGTAATTTATAGATTGATTATATTAATTAAAAAAAACACTAAAAGATATTAAACTATTTATACACTTATAAAATACTATTTATTTATTGTTAACATTGAGACATTTATATCCAAATTTTTATGATATTGCCCTTTGGTTCCTAATATTTTAAGAAATTCTATTTTAGTTTTTAGGTTTACTTATGTCATAATTTAGTCCTTAAATATAAAAGGAGAGAGAAAGTCACAATTGGTTCTAATTTTGGCTTCTTTTTTTTTTTTTTTTTTTTGTGGCTAATCTTGCATTCATAAGGTTGGCTTGAGCAAAAAAAGCTCTAATTGATTCAATAAATGATCTCAAGTTTGAATATTTGTGTATACAGAAAATTTCTTGGATAGCTATGTCTATATTGCAATCCAAGATATCCTAGAGATTCAAAATAATAATAATAATAAATATGCCAAAAATAAAATAGAAAAACCAATGAGCTTATAGCTCAATTGATATCATTTTATTTTGGTGAAAATAGTGTGTTCATGGTAGTTTTAAACAATAAAATAAATGAAAGAGGTAAATCGAAATCTTAAAAAAAAATTAAATTTTTGCTTTGATATATATGTGTGTGCGTACACATATTGAAATGTTTTTATTTTTAATTTTTTTTCTTTTTTTACTTTTTTTTAAAAAATTTATTATTGAATTGGGTGGAAAATTATAAAAAATTATTTATTATTTTTTTGGTTTTTCACACAAGTTGATGATATATATATATATATATATATATATATATATCGGATTATATTATTCTTATTTTTTAAAATTGATTTTTTATTTTTTAGTTATGAAAATTTCATAAAATTAATTTTTTTATATATAATTTTCTTTGTTAATATATAAATATGATTTACTTTTCTTTATATGCAGATTGTTTGATAAATTATGTTATATTTTTTTATGAACATATGTATCGATTATATTACTTTTATTCATTAAAGTTGATTTTTTTATTTTTAGTTTCTTATAGAAACTCTCATGAAATTAATTTCATTTGTTAATAAATATGATTTATTTTTCTATATGCATGATTTTTTGAAAAAAAAACTTTAGAATATATATATATGATGGATTCCTATGATTTTTAAATGAGAGTGTTAAAAAGCAACAAATATATTTTAGATAGTTTATCTCAAATGTTCTAAAAAATAATTTTAAAAAAATTGAATTCACATATTTTATTCTTTTCTTCTTTATATAACTAAAATTTATCGAAATTAATTTTGAAATTTTTTTATTTCAGTCTATTAAATATATTCTTTGCAATTTATTTGTTTTTTAAATATTTTTATTTATGTTGTACACCCCGAACCCATTGAGTATGGCTAATATATATATATATTAAAGAGAGAGAGAGAGAGAGAGAGAGAGAGAGAGGCTATTTGTTATTATTTTTTTAACATTTTAAAATCAGTTTCTTTGAAATAAAATAATTTTAGAAAAACCATTCAATGATTCAAATAAAACTTTTTATACTAATGTTTTGATTATTTCGAGAATAAACATATATAAATCAAATGTACATATTTTTTTTAAAAAAATGATCTTCTCTTCATAATTAAATAAGAATGAAAAAAAATTATTTGTTAATTTTTATATTAATTTTTTTATGTAATTTTGTGAAAAACATATTAAGGCAATTTTTAAAATTTTGGATTAAATATTCTATTTAGATTATTGCATGTTTTTATTTAAAAATAAATACATAAAAAAATAACAAATCATATTTGTTAAGTATATAATTTATGAAAATATAAAGAAAAATAAATTATAAAATTAGGTATTTTTTATTTTTAATTCAATATATTTTAACGGACATACAATATAATACATGTTATTAAATTAAAATTATTTTTTAAAATAATTTTACATGTTTTATTCGATCCGTATTGTAAGACAGATAAGATGAAAAGGGTTTGTGTGATGAAAAGGTTTCATGATTTCTGTCGATTAGGAAAAAAAAAAATCGATACTCAAGCAAATACACAAACTAAAAAACAAGATGATGGTTTCAGTAGGATATGGATTATCATATAGTAACCATTACCACTATCCAATAACCATGACATATTATTATGCTCAATATGTTGTTCTCAACCAATTAGGATTTCGTCTGAGACCAGAGAAAAAAAATAGGAATTTGATAGGCTACAAACATGAATTGATTAATTTGGAAATCTTTAGCATGTGCCAAGAAACAATTAACTTCTTTACACGTTAACATACCTAATTAATAAAGGGAAAAAAAAAAAACCCGCAATGCTAAAGAACTGTCCATGTTCAGAACTGGAGAATAGTGAGTAATAAAACAGGACAGTAGCGCTCTTGACTCTTGAGTTGCTGCTAATGTACTCTCAACGATGAACAAAGCGACAATACTTTATTATCTTTCATTTATATAAACACTCCACATAAAGAGTATTGGGAATCATCTGAACTTCATTTTCCTGAATCAGGCATGTAGGATTTGCTTTCAGAAGCTTTTGCGAAAACGATTCTATCCAATGGCTGCTAAGACTGGAATCAGAAACTTCAGAGTCAAGATGAGAATCAACCGCATCAGTTGTAAGGGATTCAACTAGATTCGATCTAACTGCTGTAGCTTGAACCTCATGATCAGCCTCAGTTGTTGTTTCTATGGTCAGAACCCCAACTCCCTTGTCAGAGCAACCACTGAACGCAACTGGTTGCAAGTTTTTAGCACAATTTGAAGCGGATACAGTTGGTGCTGCAATATAATTAGTAGATGCAATGGAATGGACAGCCATCTGATCATCGTCAAAGTCCCGCACAACTTCATGAGAAGAGGACTCAAAGTTGTCAAATTTCACCTCATTAAAAACTAGTTCAGATACATTTTCTGATGCCCCCATAATCTGTTGCTCCTGATTGCTTTCATCAACTTTGGCCTTCTGGGATATGGTGTTCGCTGCATCATCAACACCTTCAGCGTCCCTCTTCCTTTTTTTGGTCGTTTTTTGCGTTTGGTGGCTGTTTTCGTCGGCATCTTTCCTCCTCAGATGGCACAAAACAACGACTTGAGAAAGAGATGGCAAACTATACTCATACATTGTCCAACCGCACCTTACAGGTTGGTCAGATTGAGTGTTTTGGTAACTAAAGCATTTCCTGACGGCAATCACAGAGCAATTTCTGTCAATTGGGACATGGATTTGATGGTTATTGTCCTCTCTATGCCATGTTGCAGGGCCACCGGCGATTTTGCGGATGAAATTATTGGAATTGGGGGTTTTCCTTTTGAGGTTAGTGAAGAAGAATAAATCTTCGCCTTGGAGCCTGTGGAAGGTGTTCCAGATTTGATGGGGTTGATGGGCGTAGAGGTCGCATTCTCTGACAGGAGCAAAGGCTGTGAAGAGAGGGTCAGTGAGTTTTGGATAAAGAAAAACGCGGACCAGTTCTTGCTCATCAGGACAGAAGCGGTAACCATGGAGTAATTGTTGGAGGGTTAGGGTTTGTGATGGGGATTGTGTGTTTAGATGAGACAGTAGAGCCATTGAGTTATTTAGAATGTAGAAGAAAGGAATGGAATTTGGGTGAGATCAAAGAAAGAGAGTTGCAAGTTAAGGAATGATGACGACAGAGAAAAATAAGAAAGCAATGAGTAATAGGTAGATCGATCAATCTTGGCAGGAAACCAATTACTAGGAGATCAAACTCAAAGTTAGAAAGAGAGAAAGTTACTTTCTATCTTTCTTTCTTGATAACTGATAAAGAAAGAAAGAGAGGAAATGGGAAGTAACAGAGACAAAGAGAAGAGATTGGGAAACCCTAATTGCAGAAGGAAAATCAGAAACAATGAATGAACTAAAAGTAATTGTAAGGTTACGCTATCTTCCCCTCTTAATTTATAGAGCAACAGCTAGGTTTTCTTGTTAAGGCGGTGGCGGTTCTAAAGGTAACAAAGGATCTTATTTTATTTTTTAAAGTCTTTTGTTGAAGTGTTGCTGAGGTGGCCAAGATTGAGGGTTCGTGAGTCAAGCAAAACCAAACAAAAGGAAGTGAACAAGTAAGTGAAGACTGAGGAGCAGTGAAAGAAAGGAGTTTGTGTCCGTTTTTTCCGTTAGTGTTAGTTAATGTTAGTAAGTGTAGCGAGCACACGTGCAGGTACGATGCCGTACATAAAAAGAGGAGAGAGGAGAGCGTAGAGTCCGGAGTGTGTCAGATTGTGTGCGTTTGCGTGGGAGATGGGTGGGCTCTGTCTTAATTAGTCTTGTCTTGTCTTGTCTGCGGGTCCCACTCTTTTGCTTGGATATCATCTTGTTCTTCATATTCATCTTCGTCTTCGTCCTCTGGTGGTGTTGTGTTGTGTAATACTATATATCTTAGAGAAGAAATAATTGGTGGTGTGTTAGGTTTGGTGGCCAGTCGTGGATATAAATGATGATCTCTTATATAGGTGTTGTCTGATCCATTGTTTTAAATAGAGATAGAGATAGAAGGTAAAACAACTAAGTTCGGAATTAATTGCCTCTCTCCAATCCATTTCCATCCATTTGGTTTCTTTTATTTATGGTAGAATATTTTAGAATCGTTTGATAAAATGTCTGATAGAGACAGAGAGAGCATCATTTTGCTTCGCCTTTCAATTCCCATCATCCAGGTCATATTTTCTTTTACTTCTTTAGTTTCCTACTGAAATATTGTGCTACTTCCTAAATTCAGATCATATTATTTTGAATCACACTGACATGGAAAAGTAGATATGTTTGTCAATCCAACTTTGCAGCCTTTGTATGTTTGGAGTGCCATTTATCAAGGAAGTTCATCAGAACGTAATTCACTGTAAACAATAACTTCAGGCAAAATAAAGTAGCAGGCGTTATGATGCCATCTTATCATGTTCATATTTATTTAGAAATATACTGAGAAATCTATGTTAGTCTACAATCTACTAACAAGTAATAAATCCTTGAGATTCTGATCTGGAACAAAATCCAAGTCTTTGGAGCAAAATATAGGGTTCGGCCACATAAACAACAAATGTAAAACGTGATTATGATCTGTATGGTATCATTAACTTGAAGCAGGGACAGATGAACGAATTTGCAGATATCGTAATTAGAAACTTGTACGGACTATTGATAGCTAAAAAAAAACAGGACTTGATCAGAGTTAAAATGTTGTCTGCAAAAGTTGGATGTATTCAGGATTTTGGACCCAGAGGTTGAACTTTCAACTCTATTATAGCACTGTCTCGAAATAAATAAAAAACTTTGCTGAAAAAGATCACCATGTTGATATAAGATTTTCAACTGAATATCCAATTATCATGTCAAAAACAAATCAGGAGGGCAGTAGTATCTGAAACTTGTTTCAGCAAAATCTTTACTGCTAGGTAGATTTTTACAATCAAACATAACCTCCTATCATCCCTTTCGTAAAAGCTAAATAGCAGATAACCCATAAAGAGGATCAGGAAAAGAGATACAATTATTAATTGATCCACCACAGACATGTCCCAAAACCAGGACCAAGTATGATTTCACGGGTAGGGAATTTTGAAACAATACCAGTAGAAGCAAATAACTAATCGAGGGGATTATGAAGAGTTATGATATGAGCTGAAGTCGACAACAACATTAACAAAAGCAAGGACAGCAAGATCAAAAAAATAACATTTGCTAAAAAATAATAACTCAAATTAGTAATAAAGGCTTTAATTGATATACCCTAATAGTTTGAAGGTAATTTTTGCTATTAAATAAAAAAAATTAGAATGCTTAATTAAACTTTCACATTACTAGTCAATGCTTTAATTGTTAAAATTAATTTACAAAAGAAGAAGAATATTTGTCTAAAAAATGATAGTTTAGAGTTCAAATAACCCAAATTTGATAATAAAGACTTTAAATTACTATAATCCTAATAGTTCAAGAGTAATTTTTACCATTAAATCCACAATAAATAGACATAAAATATCCCAATTTACTATAAACGTCTAAAAGGATTCATTCTGCTTTTACTGTGCAGTAACAGTGAAGCAACTCATTATTTTTTTCTTTATTTATTTTTTGTTCCCTTACATTTTAGTCTCTGTAACAAATTTTCATTAATTGTTCTCTTAATTTTTAATAACACGTAAGTTTTTTCAAACAAGTCCTTTATTTCAATTATATTAAGTACTATAACATACACTGTAAATTAAAAAAATTGCCACAAAATCGGCAATGATGAAATTTAGTGTTAGTTTAGTGGAACTTGAATTAGAGTTATCTAAAAACTTAAAACACAATTTGTAAGTGATCGGCATCAACTAACTCCATTTGCTAGTTCGATTTCTAAAATTGAAGGATATGTACCAATATGGTTGGTGAAATCCTATGTTGCATCTCGTAGCGCCATGTCCATGTGAAAATACCCTTTCACCTTCATTGAATTATCAGTCCTTAATCCATCATAAACATCAACTACTACATAGGAATTCTGTTACCATTTGCATTTAGGATAATGCTAACAAAATAGGCTATCAATGGATTGAATTTTAACTTGAATTAATTTTATCTAAATTCAATGTAGTTAAATGAGTCAGATATTTAATTTTTATAATTCGAATCAGTCAATCTATTTATTAAATGAATCAAATATAGATTTACTTTAATCCAATTCGATAATAACCTGATTTGAAAAATTATTAAATGTCTTATTTTCTAGCATGCAGCAGCTATGACATTAAGAACATATCCAGCGGAGCTTACCCTGACTGTTTTGGTCTGCCTTGTGGCAGCCTTAGAGGGCACCATATTTGCTGTTTTTAAGGAATGAGGAAATGCTAATGTTTGGTTTATTGGATGGAACTGCTCGTTGTTGTCATATGTTTATAGCGTAAGTATAATCTCTTTGATTAATTTTGAGAAATTGAAATTACTACTTTATTTCATTTAATTTTGTTATTCTCTCTCTTCGAAAGAAATCATACGTTTTTCTATATATTTATATGGGCGTCAAAATATTTTCAGGTAAAAAATTTAAATGATTTATTTTTTAAAAAATACATTTAATTAAAGTTTATTTTTAAAAGATAGTTCAAATACAATTCTAACAAAATGTTTTTTTAGAAAGTATAAACAAAATATATTGATTTAGTATAATTTTTTTAATCAATGTAAAAAGTTAAAAAAAAAAAAAAAAAAGAAACTCCTTTGGAAAAAATTAGCATATATTATATGTATGTAGTTATTTGCTTTAATTGTCGTACAATTCTTATTTGGTGTAGCTTGTTACAACGAGGGCGAGTGGGAACAGAGTTTCTTCAAAGAGTTGTGATGAAAACCAAGGGACATGTTTTTGTGACTGCTTTCAATCCTTTGTGCATGGTGATTGTTGCTATTTTGAGCTCCATTTTTCTCGTCAGAGATAATATATGCATAGGAAAGTAAGTATATCATCCCCATCCTTTACACGTTAATTAATAGTTAATATGGAACTCGAGATTTTTTCCTTATTGGCAGGGTTATTGGAGCAAATTGCTGGGACAACATTCCATATGACAGGTGAAACTAGTAGAGTAGTCATACACATGATACGAGTATAGAGTAAATTGCCATGAAAAACTAGACTATAATTTTATTTTATTGTTTCTAAATGGAGAGTTTATAAATAAACTCTTAAACAAAAAAAAAGTTGCACAACATAAAAGTAAGGAAAATTGATCTCATGCATATGATCTAAAATAATAGAAGAACAACCAATTAGAATACTTGGAAATTGATGCAGACCTAGTGACAATGAGAAAATATGATTTGCCAGTCAATCTACATAATAATTTACCTCTCGATAAATATAAGTAGTTTGAATATATAAAAAAAGTTGCTGCAGTAACCGAATCAATTTGACCAGATAAGCATTATCAGGATCAGTACATAGATGGTTTTAAATTAAATGGATTGTAGTATTAGAATCTGATTATGTCTCTATTTTTCTCAATCCCATGTCTCAAGCAGTTTGTGAGCCTACCTTAATTGCTCCTAACTCGGCTGTGGTAATTGAACAAATTCTTATACCATATCCAAATCCTTCAACCCATGCACCAGTAGTATTCTTTAAGACTCCACTTGCAGAAGTATGTGGGGCCCCCAAACAACTCGACCATGTCCCAAGAAAGTATCGTGTAATAACAATTCGATTATGTCCACAAATGTATTGTGTAATAACAATTTATCAAGCCAAAAATCGTGCGGTGTTATCAACTTCAATAGACCATGAAAGCCCTTGAAGGATATTCTGCCAATTATTGCAGATAACTGTCTAAACAAAAGAGCCATTAATGCTCTTAAACTCATTGGGACAATGTTCCGCATCAAAGTTGTATTTATACCACACCACCCGCGCCAAAAGACTATCATGATCCATCAACAATCGTCATCCCAATTTCATTAGCATAACATCATTATTATCTGTGGCTTTCCTGATGTATACCTAAACCCTCATAGGTCTTCTATGAGCAAATTTTGTCCCAACTAAGCATGTGCGTCTTTCATTCTCTTTGTTGGGATCCCCAAATAAAACCTCGACAAATTTGATCAATCTCTTTACAGATTAAACTAGGAAGTCTAGTCGTTTGTATTGTAGAGATAATTGATTGAACAAGTGTGTCCTCCCAGCTAGAGAAAGATATTTCGTCTGCCATCCAACCAGGCGTTGTTTGACTTGGTCGATAATAATATGACTATAGGTATGTGTCCTCACCCTGCCACGCAGTAGAGGAACCCCTAAATATTTTCCAAGATCATTTCTCAGTTGGAAGCTGAATCCTGCACTTAGAGAGCAAGCAAGTTGTTTTAATGCATTGGGAGAACAAAAGAGTTTTGTTTTTGAGTAGATTATCTTCTGACCCGAACTACAGCAAAATGACTCCAAACATTGATATTTAATTAGACCTGTGTCATATCAACTTCTGCAAACAAAATCAAAACATCCGCGTAGAACAAGTGAGAGAGTTTTGGACCATTGCGACTGATTTGAATAGATTTCCAGTTGCCATTGTGCACTTTGTGATCAATAAGATGGCTTAAACATTCTAAACAAAGCACAACTCTATATGGAGAAAGAGGTCTGCTTGGCGGATGCCTCTGGAAGGAGTGAAAGATGCAGTAGTTTCGCTATTCCAAATCACTTGCATGGAAGCACCTGAAATACATTTTGATACAGTAGGTGCAAGAGGAGCGGGCGGCATCTAGGGTTCCAGATTAAAATTGGTCTTTCAATTCAAAATGGACAGGAGAACTTAAACGGGTAGTGTTTGAGGGCTGAATAAGTGATTGGGCTTTAGTGGTTTGGGCAATGCTGACGGGCTTAACAAAGGTATGGGCTGTTGGAGCAATAGTCTGTGTGCTTTTCTTTTGTCTAGGCTTTGGTGAATGGGCCAGTGGGTATGGGTGTAATGGGCAGTTCGGCTTCTAGATTTTGGGCATAGGATAAAGATTAAGGAGAAAGTTGAGCTTCATTTGGGCTTTGGTCAGTCCGGGTTTGGGTCTTTCTCTTGGCAAAGTGGGCTTGGCTTGTGTGATTAGGCAGAGACGAACTTTCCTTTAGTTTTGACAGAAAATCAAAACGCGAACCTCTCTTGGGAGCATTTATTTGTTGCGGCAGTTTAGGAGAATTGACAGAATATCTGCTTGAATTCCGCCGCGAACTCTGCTTGGCATGAATCCAGGGACCAAAGGCTCCATGATCGGATCTAGAGGTAGGGTTTGTTGCCGCCGAGTGAGCTTGATTCCGATCGGAGGTTTGTTGGTTGCCATTCGAAACATCTTCATCCACAAAAACGTGGTTATTGGATTCTTTTGATGGACAGAAATTACCTTCATCCACAAAAACATCTTCATTTGTCAAAGCTTGAAAAGTAGGTAGGTTATGTCGTCAAATACGCCGCCTTCATGTTCGCAGCATCTGCGTTAGGGTCTTGATCCTCCGACTGATGGAGGTATTACCAATTCTTTAGTACATTCAAAATTCCCATCCAAATTCAATCCAATTTTCTGTTAATTTTTTTTTTTTAAAAAAAAGATTGTATTGGATTCAATTTCAAAAAACCAAAACAAGAACAAGTAAAAAAAATATATATATATTACATTATGGAATTTTTAAATTTGTTTATAAAAAATTTTAAAAAAACAAAGTTTGTTAAATTTTTATTCGTTTATGATGGCTGTTTTTAAAAATTTTAGATTATTCAATTTTTTTCTAATAATTTTTTTATTTTTAAAATATACAAAAACCAAACTTGAAAAATAAAATTAAAAAAAAAATCTTGAAAAAATCATGCATGTTAAAAATTACAAATTTGCCACCATAAAATGTGTTTCGTCAACAAATCCTTCCTTGAATATTACTTTATTATCTTTTGATGTACAAGACTCATAGGATTACTATAGCATTAGCTAATCAGTTTGTGATGGTTAAAAAAAAACAAAAAACAACAACAACAATTTGGAGGCTCTGTGATTGAACCTTGTGTAAATAATTTTGAGAATTCGACTCAATAATCGTTACATTTAATTAATTCAATCTAACTATGTTCAATTGTTAACATAAATTAATGAATTTTAATAAAACTTACTGAATTGAAAAATATTAGCCATGTACAAAACAGTTTTGAATATGATGTTTATCTTTAATTCTTAAAAAAAAAAATTAAAAATCGATTAAATAAACCAAAAATATTTACAAGTAATTCTCTTTCAATTTTTTTCCAAATCTACTATTTTTGGAGGGTTTGTGAGATTGAGATTCGCATGATTGACAAGTGATTTTTTAATAAGTCAAAATTTAAGCGAAGCATTTTAGTTAAAATTGTGTGTTACATACATTTTTGTTAATAATTGAACTTAGTTGGATCGAATTATTTAAATATGACAAGTACATGATTGAATCTACAAAATTATCTGTACAGGATTCAATTTGCCCATACACAACAGGGTCTCAAAATAGAATTATTTTTTTTCGAATAAAAAAAAGATATTTTAATCAATTTAAATTGTGCTACAGTAAATAAAAAATTAAAAAATAAATAAGGGAAATAGTAACTAAATAAAAAATTAGAAAATAATATTTTTTGTAAAAAAAATTCTAATAATCTTTTTGAATTGTTAATCAATTTTTTATTTTTTTTAAATTGGAACCGACAGAAATTTGGCATGTATTCCTTATTTCTCTTGAAAGTCAAAAGTAAAGGAATTTTTGGTTGATTTTCGATAAAGGAACTAACGATGCATTAGCATCCAAACGTTAAGTATTTATTAATTATCCCAAACTGGAACCATAGGATTAATTGTATTTGTAAAAATCGATTCCACAAAGACCTCAGTTTCATTAAATCATATGAGTAATAGACAGGTGGTGACATTATAATAATATCTCTAAGAGTTTCGTGATGAAATTAAAGGATTTTTTTAGAAAGGAGTTGATGGTCCATGCTGCTCCTATTTTCTCTTCTTCGGTTCTTGACATCATGTTTTTCTGCTCAAGGGATAGTTTGGACAAATCTCTCTAATTATCCTGCAAGGAAGTTGACCTTTGAGAGCTTTCTTCATTGTTTCTATACCGTATAGATCACTTATTTTCCCGTGGTGACAGGTGGTGACATTAAAACTTAAATCTTATTTTACTAAAGAATCTAACTTGATATACATACGATCGTTAAATTAAATCTTTTGTGTTCTTTGAATTTTTTTTAAGATAACAAGAAAATTATATTTAGAGGTATATAATTGATCATATTGTAGTTGAAGCTAATAAACATGTTATTTTAATTGGAATCTAGAATAAATGTGTTATTTCTTTTTTTACAAGCGAAGTTCTATTTTATTAGTGGTTTTTTTTTTTTTTAATGAACAAGATTGCAAATTAAAGATAATTGAATCACTTGATTTTCTTTGAATCAGACATACACATTTGGTTGATATTTGATAACCTTGCTTTGCGGTTTGTTTCAGTAGCAGATTGTGTCATTTAAAAAAAAAAAAAAACAAGATGGTAGGTGAGTAGGGCCTTTAAAAATATTCTGCTCCTAAATGTACAACTACAAGGAGATCTTAACTTTTTTTTTTTATTTCCAACATATCGCAGGCCAAAGCCAAATATCTAAATTAATTATTTGTTATTCGATGAGACATATAAAACAGATACATCTATTTAAGAAATTTTCTACGTATACAAATATGTGAAGTCAATCTATTTGTTTAAATGATTAAACAAATGATTTGATCTTAACTTTTTTTTTTATATTCCCAAGATATCATAAGCCAAAAATCCAGATTGATTATTCGTTATTCGATAATGGGATGTATAAAGGAGATATATCTATTAAATGAGTTTTTTACATATATAAAGAATTAAAGTCAAATCACTTATTTAAACGATTAAAAATTTTTTCACTCAAGCCAAATCTTCTTGGGTTGTAATGGATCGTAAATTTAGCACAATGCATCTTATCCTCTCTCCTCCCCACTCCATTAATACAATAGATTCTAAAGTCATTTTCTACAAATTCCATAAAATTCATTAGAGTATGGCAATTACAGCTAATGTTTATAAGCAACCACTCCATTAATGCAATAGATTCTAAAGTCATTTTCTACAAATTCCATAAAATTCATTACAGTATGGCAATTACAGCTAATGTTTATAAACAAAATTACTCGATGATTTTAAATAAGCATGTTTATATCATATTGAAAATATGATTATTTTTATTCGGAATGAAAATGATAAAGTTTTAATTTCTCTCAATAATTATGACTATAAGATTTTAACCATATATATATTGATAAAAAAAAATTTATTTGAAGACCTGTTAATTTACCACTTAATCAAGTTGATCTAATTCATTTTATATTAGTGTCTTTGCTCTGATTAAAAAGTTTTGAATTGGAGTTTTTTTTTTTTTGTGTAATTGAAAATAAAAAATCCATTTTATACCCTTTGAGGTTAAAAAACTTGCTAGTAAAAGGACCATGAATTAAAGCTTAATAACTCCCTCTTTCTCTTACTAATAAATGGCCCTTGAATTAGCTGTAAAAACTAAAAATCATATGTTTGTTCTGTCTACTGATTTCCATATCAGCTTATATCAGCGTACTTAGACTTATCGAAGAAAAAGATGACATTAAAAAAGGCAAAATAATGAGTATATGTTTGCACAGAGAAAGGAACAAGACGAAAAACGCCCATAAATACACCCGCATGGTCATTCTCGATCAACCCCACCAAGGCAATAAGGCACCACCCACTGTGTTTTCCCTCTCTCAAATTCATTTGCTTTTTGGCCATGTCTTTCCATAGACAAATGTTGAAAAGAACAGTGAAAGAAGCCGAAGCCAAGATTCTTAGGAACTCTCTCTGCACTTCTTTCTCTACAGTTCCTTCTTCTGCTGATTCTCCTCCTCAACTCCCACCTTTTGATTATCAGCCAAAACCTTACAGAGGACCATTAGCTGATGAAATCTTGCAAAAACGCAAGAAATTTCTGGGTCCTTCTCTTTTTTACTACTATCAGAAACCTGTTAGTCTATGATCTTCTATATACCCTTTTAATTTAATGATTTTTTTCTTCATATATAGCATGAAAGTTTTCATCTTTTTCTGATTTTGTTGCGTTGTCATTCTTTTCATCACCTTCTGATCATGCCCTTTCGATTTCAGGCTTTCTGTCCTCTTCATTTTGTGTTGAATGATGATGTTGTTTGGGTTTTGCAGTTGAATATAGTTGAAGGAAAGATGCAATATTTATTTGATGAAAATGGTAGGAGGTATTTGGATGCTTTTGCTGGGATAGTGACTGTATCTTGTGGGCACTGCCATCCTCAAATTTTAAATGCAATTATGGAGCAAAGCAAGCTGCTCCAACATGCTACGACCATTTACTTGAACCATACTATTGCTGATTTTGCTGAGGCCTTAGCAGCTAAGATGCCAGGAAATCTCAAGGTTTTTGTTGTTCTTGATCCCTTTCTTATAATTCCCGTACGATAAATAATCGTTCTTGTAAATGGGATTCAAGAATAATTTAATTTGGGTGTTGATCATTTTTTTTTTTTTTTTGGCTTTAAAATGAGGATCATTTGTCTTAGTGGTTGGTTGGATCCTGCTTAAACTAATTAGTTAACATTTCATTAACATGAATTTTCTGGGTAATCAGTGTAATTCATCATTATTTGTGTTAAAAAGTACGCAACATTATTGAAATAAATTACGGGTTGCTGCTTTTTGAACTGATTAGAAAAACAATATCTAAATCTTAAATTTGTTGGCATATGTAGGTTGTCTATTTTGTAAATTCTGGGTCAGAAGCTAATGAATTGGCGATGCTGATGGCTAGACTATACAGTGGTAACCTTGAAATGATTTCGTTAAGAAATGCATATCATGGTGGAAGTTCTGGTACAATAGGACTGACAGCTCTAAACACATGGAAATACTCAATTCCACAGGTTTGTTTATCTAGTGTTGCTGCAGGAAAATATGATTACTCGTCGTAATTTGATTGATGCCAGTAAATCTAACAGCAGAATACTGCAGGGTGAAATTCATCATGTTATTAACCCAGATCCGTACCGAGGAATCTTTGGCTCTGATCCTATTGGTTATGCCAAAGATGTGCAGGATCACATCGATTATGGTACTTCAGGAAAGGTTGCTGGATTTATATCTGAAACAATTCAGGTTGGCGACTTCACTTTTACAATTGTTTCCAATAAGCTGCATATTTGGTTGTTTGGACAACCTTGAATATGAAATTTCAAGAAAATTCTATTCTTTTAACTTTTGGATGAATATAGGGAGTTGGAGGAGCAGTTGAATTAGCCCCTGGATACTTGAAATTGGTTTATGACATTGTGCGTAAGGCAGGAGGTGTTTGCATAGCCGACGAAGTGCAAACAGGGTTTGGCCGCACAGGAAGCCACTATTGGGGTTTTGAGACTCAAGGTGTCATCCCTGACATTGTTACTATGGCAAAGGTATTCAAAATCACCTCTTTAATATTTGTTCATTACTGCTGCAAAAGGTAGATAGACATAGGTCTCCCTTCAATATCTTACTTTCACTGTCTTTTTGAAACCTGTTCGTCCATCCCATAAGTAACGTGATTAGCATTTACCAGGGCATTGGAAATGGTTTGCCATTAGGAGCTGTAGTAACAACACCAGAAATAGCACAAGTAATGGCGCAAAAAATTCAGTTCAATACTTTTGGTGGGAACCCTGTGTGCTCTGTTGGTGGACTTGAAGTATTGAGAGTCATAGACCAAGAGAAGCGTCAAGAGCATTGTGCTGCTGTTGGTTCCCACTTGATTGGACGTTTGAGAGAGCTACAAAAAAGTCATGACAGTAATTTCTCTTGAACATGGCATCTCAAATACTCTGTTGTGTGATGTACATGACATTTGCCATTTGCGTTTATATTAAGTATTCTGTTGGCTCCTAGCCTTGTTATATAGGCTGTCTTTTTCACCCTCCGAAATATGAACTTCTTTAAAATGCCAATCTAGTGAAACAACTATTACCAAGTTGCTATAGCAAATCATAGTTTTGAGTATGGTTCTGTTCATATGCCAACATACACTGAAGTTTTCTCAATAAGCTACCTAGATTTCTGTTTAGGACTCTATTCATTCCTGTAAGCGTGTGCAGGTGAGTTTTCTTTTATGCATGTGCTTGTACGGTGTCTCAGGATGGGCTATCACACAAATCGAGCTGCTTGTGAATGTTGTGCACATGTGTGTTTTTATAAGAGCCATGAGCAAAGCTAGCTTTCTTAACAGTCTCGTGTAGGAATAATTAGTTTTGCTGCTTCTGTAGCCTTATGCAGAATAGAAATCAAGCGAGGCAAACAAAAGTCCAAATTTTATCAACTTTTTCCTCGGACTTGTGAAGATTACATGCATTAGATGTTTCTGATGATATGTAACTTCTGAATTACTGCTAGTGTTCTAATGCAATACATTGTGCTTCTAGTAATGATATTTTTAGTGGTTCTGAAATTTTCAATTGTTGTTTCAGTCATTGGAGATGTAAGAGGCAGGGGCTTAATGGTGGGGATAGAACTTGTGACTGACAGGAAGGAAAAGACTCCTGCCAAAGCTGAAACAGCAATCTTGTTTGAGAAACTTAGAGGTAAGTGGTAACAGGGCACAGCCTCCCAACCCCATAATGTAGAAAAGATAAACCTTTGACTACTAAATGGTTTTCCCAGCTATTTCTACTGTGTATTTATCATCACTGTTTCCTGAGTGCAGAACTCGGCATCCTAGTTGGCAAAGGTGGAATACATGGAAATGTGTTTCGTATCAAACCACCAATGTGTTTCACCAAAGACGATTCAGGTACTCTTCATGTTGCTGCAAGTGCTTAAAGAAATTAAAACCCCTGCGATTTTTAGATGAGCAATAGGGTAACTTTCAGGAGAGGCTCTGAGAGCTTTTAAGAACTGCAGTACCGGTGAAAAAAAATTTCAATTTGCTAGCATGATGATTACCATTTTCAATTTTGTTTATATGCGCTTTTTAACAGAATGATCTAATGTCACCGTTTATATTTTGGTACATGCAGACTATCTTGTCGATGCGTTGGACTATTCAATGTCAAAGTTGTGAGGAGCTACCTGCCAGAAGCTGAGATGAATATGTAATTCAATTATTTTTGGCATCAATCTCTTCTGATAGGTTGCTTTCAATAATATCAAGCAAATATCTTACCATTCCTAACTATAGGATGAGTTTGCTTGTTTCTGATTTTGTCATTGCCTGGGGTCCTAACCTGAAAAAATCAAACTGTTTTTTTATGTTCTGAGAATGTAGATGTCAATCATGGGAACCAATAGATAAATTATTTGAAACCGCATGCAAGGAACATAATCCAAGAAAGGTTTTAGTGGTTATCAGCAACAGATAATTTTTACGTCAACGAAGTTGGCAAGGAATCAGATCTTTCGTTTTTTCAATTATGTAAATAAGCTGCTGGCTTTGTTACTGCTCAAGAAAAACTTCTATTGCAAGACCTCAGACTTCCGAGGACACATTTATATCCGAGTTTTCAGAATCAATGGCTCTATAGTTTCTGGTCACTCAACAATACTGATTGAAAATGTGGATTCTGAAGATTAAAATATTGATTGAACTCAACTGGTAATACATAGAAGGGGTGGAGATGGACGAAGCAGAATAAGAAATTCACATTGTGAAACTGGAATGGCTATTTGCTTTCTATTTTTGCTTGTAGCAAACATGAACTACTAACCAGAAAAGAGAGGCGTGGCAAATTATTAGTACAAAAGAAAAGAAGAAATGAAAAGGACAGCGAACATTACTACCAAGATACAAAGAATTAGAGACCAATAATGTTAAACTATTCTATGAAGCCATTGAAGCCTTGACTCAGGGTGGTGGATTGGTGGTGGCAATTTGATGAACACGTCCAAAGATTTGTCGTTTTAATTAGTGGAATGACATGGATTGGTTAGTTCAAAATTGGTTGCAAATGTTGCATGCTTCGATGATGACACCAAGATTAGAACTAGTAGTAAGACAGTAACGATATAGCTTGCTTTCGGTTTTGCTTTACAACTTACCTTCCGACATCCCCTTTTACAGGTCTATGTTGGGATTCTTTGCTATAAATTAGTTATGAATTAAGGTAAATTAGTGTGTAATTAGCTGTATATTTGTTTACTATTTAGAATAGATTAGGCAGCATTTTCTCCTTAAAGTAGCAAACAAGTACTAATGTTTAGTACTCTTTTTGTGTATATAAACATATGTTTAAAATTTGGTCATTCAAAACCTAAATATTCACATGGTATCGAGCAACCCTAGATGCCTTTTGTTCTTCCCACAGTACGTCCTAGGTCAATTCTTCACTTACAGACTTTTTCTAGCAGCCCTTTACACTCGCTTATTTCGATAGTGTTCATTAACTAGCTCATCCTTTATCTCATTCCCACGACAACATCCAAGACTAAACATTATAAGCACTAACAAATCTTCTATTGAAACCCCAAAATCCTTCAATGCTAAAACCGTTGTTTTTAACAACCGCGGGGAGACACGATAAACTACTCATTCATGCAAATCACCACCATATTTAGCACAAAACCATAAGCGTACGTGAAGCCTTCTCCGAGGTCCGAAAGGAAGAAAGCAGTACGTCATTTGATGCCGGGGACGAAACATCGGTTACTAGTAGTGAGTCATCAACCTTAGCAGCTCAAAATCAGCAACGACCACGAAAAGGGGGAAAGCGATGGTGTAAACATTGCCGTCGCACTAGTTAGACCAAAGAAAGCTAATGGACACTCTATGGAAAACCAGTTGATTGCAAGTCAAAAAAAGCAGCAGAGAATAAAATCCAAGGCAACATGGTCAGCAATTTAGAACAAGTTGTAACTCTTAGCAAAGAAGAACTTGATGGACTAAGAAGGTTACCGGAATCACAACAAAATCCACTAGTTATTTGGTTGGGTTTTATAGCTCAAAAAGGTAATTTTTTCAAAGCATTAACTATCAAACAAGAGCCCTATAAGCCTTGGATTGTAGACTCGGTGCTTTCGATCATATAATAGGAGATAAGCGAGTTTTCCACATATATTTTCCCTATAATGATGCTTTTATAGTTAGAATTGTAGATGATTCTTTGGTAAAAGTTGAAGGGACTAGTTCGATTACAATATTCGGGGACATAACACTTAAGTTTGTTCTATATGTTCCTAATCTAGATCGCAACCTAGTCCCTATAAATAAAATTACCCAAGATCTAAACTCGTATAGCTAATTTTTCTCCTCATATTTGTGAATTTCGGGATGTGATTTCGAGGAGAATGATTGGTAGTGCTAGAAGTCATGCTAGGCTTTATCATCTCGAGGTTCAATCGGATTCCGTAATTAAATCTCATTTTAGAGTCGGTGACCTTATTTCCTATAAAATTAATTCTCGCTTGTCCGTTAGTAAGTGAAAAAATTGAGAGTGAGAGGTCGGTTATGGTGTGACATTACAAGTTAGGACACCCAAGCGTTATGTACTTGTCTAAGCTTTTTTTCAAGTTTATTCGGAAATAAAAGTGCTAGTTCTTTTCAATGTGAAATTTGTTAATTTGCAAAACACACTCGCAGCTTATACGATATTCAGCCATACAAAGCATCAAAACCTTTTTCTATAATCTATAGTGACATTTGGAGCCCATCTCAAGTTCCAAATGTCATAGGGGTTCAGTGGTTCATCTCTTTCATAGAATTTCACACATGACTCTCATGGATTTTTCTCATGAAAAATAAATCAAATGTTCCTCAAATATTTAAGAATTTCAACACAATGATTAAAATTCGATTTTAAACTTTTATTCAAATACTTAAAACTAATAATGGAAGTGGAGTTTTTTAATTCTAATCTTGGCTCATATCTATCAATCGAGAGACTCATACACCAAATTTTTTGTGTAGATACCCCTCGACAAAATGGGATAGTCGAGAGAAAGAATAGACACCTTCGGGACATTGCTAGGTCTCTATTGTTTTCATCTAATGTTCCAAAACGATTTTAAGGTAAGGCTATATTTACAACGACCTACCTAATCAATCGACTTCCATTAAAAGTACTAGATTTTTTCACTCCAAATAAATTATTTTTACAACACTTTCCTCAAAGTCATTTAATTTTCACTCTTCCTCTAAAAATATTTGGATGTACCGTGTTTGTGTATATCCATCAACAACATCGAACCAAGCTTGACTTTTGATCCACCAAATGTTTTTTTGTATGGTACGCTCCCAACCAAAAGGGTTACAAATGCTTTTATTATGATAACCAAAAGTTTTATCACACCAAGGATGCCACATTTTTTGAAACAAAACCTTACTACCCCAAAGTTGATATTTAGGGAGAGAATTGTAATCGAGTCAACCACAAGAATATCAATTTTTCTTGGAGAGCATAGATTGCACACTAGAAACACCAAAAACCGCAAATCCACATAATCCACCCGAAAGTGCTTCTACCCCATCTCTAATGTCCAACTTGAACATGAACCGCAACCAATTGATTCTACACCTCCCAAGATAATTGTCTATCACGGAAAAAGGGAAAAGTCGAAGAAAACGGAGACTCTAATAGATTTACAGACTACTACCAACATATAAACCTTAGGTAAATATCCCTACATTTGATTTACAAATTATGGAGAAAATTTTTATAGGTTCTAGTTCAAGTGATCTTGAAAATTCTATAGGTTCTAGTTTAAGTGACCTTGATAATTCCAATGAGAATTTACCCATTGCACTCGGGAAAGGGGTGAAAGAATGTTGTATCCTATTAGGAACTAAATGACCTATGATGGACTATCTTCATCTTACTAAGCATTCGCTAGTAAAATTAATTCTATATTCAATCCGAACTTAATACAAAAAGCCACGGCTATCCCCTAATGGAAGAAGGCGATCAATAAAAAAGTTAATGCTCCGGTTAAGAATGGTATTTGGGAGATTACTAATTTGCCTCATGGAAAGAATGTGATTGAGTGCAAGTGGATCTTCAATGTAAAAACAAAAACAGATGGTAGTATTGAAAGATAAAAAGCTTGATTGATAGCTAAGGGATTTACTCAATCTTATGGCACAGATTATGAGGAGACCTTTGCTCCGGTAGTAAAACTTAACACTATTCAAATATTTCTCTCTCTTTTGCCATAAATTTGAATTAACCCTTTCATTAACTAGATGTCAAGATTGCATTTTTGAATGAGAATCTAAAAGAAGAGTTTTATATAGACATTCCTAGGTCTCAAACAATCACATAGAACTTGGTTTGATTGGTTTTAGAGATTTACCGAGTTATGAAGAGTAATGGGTATATACAGGGACAATCTAATCATACAATATTTGTAAAACATTCTTCAAAAGGATCGATTTCTATGTTGATTGAGATCAAGGACCTAGGTAAACTCACATTCTTATTGGGGATGGAAATGGCTAGATCTAATTAAGGCATTGCGAGTCTTTCAAAGGAAGTATGTGCTAGATTTTCTAAAAGAAACAAATATGCTTGGGTGTAAACCCGTAGAGACACCTATTGATTACACTACCAAACTTGGGTATGACAAGGATAATGCTCCTATTGATAAGGAAAGATATCATAGACTTGTAGGGAAGTTGATGTATCCGTTACATACTAAGCCGGACATAGCATTCTTAATAAATGTTGTTAGTTAGTTCATGAACAACCTTACTAAAGAACACATGACAAGCAGTATGCGGAGTCTTAAAATACTTGAAATTTGTACGAGTCTTAAGATACTTGAAAATGACATTAAATAAAGATTATTATTCAAAAAGAACTCGAGTAGAGAAGTGGAATTGTATTATAATACGTACTAGGCGCATTCAATCACATATAGACGATCCACTTTTGGATATTGTAACTATGTTTGAGAAAGTTTGACAATAGAAAGGAGTAAAAAGCAAGCTATAGTAGCTAGGAGTAGTGTCGAAGTAGAATTTCGAGCAATGGCTCATAGCATTCTTAATAAGTGTTGTTAGTTAGTTCATGAACAACCTTATCGAAGAACACATGACAAGCAATATAGAGTCTTAAGATACTTGAAAATGACACTAAGTAAAGGATTATTATTCAAAAAGAACTCGGGTAAAAAAGTGGAATTGTATTATGATAAAGATTAGGCAAATTCAATGACATATAGGCGATCCACTTTTGGATATTGTAACTATGTTTGAGGAAATTTGACAACAAAAAGAAGTAAAAAGCAAGCTATGGTATCTAGGAGTAAGTGTTGAAGTAGAATTTCGAGCAATGGCTCATGGTATTTGTGAAGAAATCAGGTGAAAAGAATATTAGCCAAATTGAAGATACCTTTTAATTAAAGGATCAATACGAGTTGTGACGATCAATTTGCCATTAGTATTGCTAAAAATCAAGTTCATCATGATCGAACCAAACATGAGGAAATAGATCGGCATTTTATTAGAGAAAATATAGAAAGGGGAGTAATGAAGCCTACTTACATTCCTTCTAATCTACAAACCGTCGATATCCTAGCTAAAGCACTTCCAATGGCACATTTTGAAGATCTTAGTTGCAAGTCGGGTATAATAAATATTTATAACCTAATTTGAGGGGGTGTTGGGATTCTTTGCTGTAAATTAGCTATGAATTAGGCTGTAAATCAATGTATAATTAGTTGTATATTTGTTTCCTATTTAAAATAAATTAGACAAAATTTTCTCCTTAAAGTAGGAAACAAGTCCTAATGTTTAAGACTCTTTTTGTGTATATAAACATATGTTCTGATATAATAAAATCAGTTCATTCAAAACCTAAATATTCACAGATAGCTTTTGATTGATTAGGACTTTGCTGATATAATAAAATTAGGACTGATTTATTCCAATAATTATCCATGCTCGTAATGAGACCGTAAGACAACTAAGCTAAAGCTGTCCCAGTCAGATTTCCCTGGAAATTAAACAGAAACTAAAGAAAATGAAATGGAAATCAGTGCCTATGGCTTACTTGTATTCGAAAAGAAATGTGGTTGATTTTGTTCCCAGGACGCCTTGATTTACATCATTTTAATTGTGCATCAATTGACATTACATAATTTTGGCAGCAAAACTTCCATGCCATGTATTTGGCATTGATAAAGATCAACTTCAATGGCTTTGAATTCGTAAATGATTAGCGAGCTAGGCTTCTAGAGTACGTAAGAGACTTCAGACATATTAGCTGTTATCAGAAGATAGTCATTTACACATCTAAAGTTCATGGTCAAGGGAGATGGGCGACAACAAATCATTAGCAATTCTAACCAATTATGTACAAGGCCGGTCAAAAATAGAACACCAGTAAACAACAATTTACACGACAAAGTTCATGTGCAGACTCGAAAAGTAATACATAATTTGATGGCAAGACAATAGCAGCAACGAAAAATGATTTAAGCACAAACTTCCTCTTGATAGAATGGCTATTTATATTTACAACATCCCAATTGTGGGAGGCTGCTTGAAAAATGTCAGCAGCTTGAATTATCTATATAAGATTACAACACTACTGAAAGGCACACCTTTTTGCTTTCCGAGTATGGCTATGGCGATGATTATCTCCCTGAGATCTTGACCAGCATTAGGATCCTTCAAATATAAAGCTAGGCAGGCTCATGAGGGCGATTTGCCCAAAGTGAACTCAGATCCCGAAGCCGTTTGAAGTATTCTCCTAAGGCAAGCAGGCCTCGAGCTGCCTGGCGTGTTGTTAGGATCCGAGACATCTGCAGCAAAGTTTCCTGGCGTAGATGGTCCGCCTATTAAAACAAAGAGTTGATGTTAGATAAATCAACAAGCCCAGCTGCTTGACTTCATTCAGAAAGCTGGGGAGCATAACTTCTAGCACAACCAATTTTGACCTAAATGCTAACAAAAATGTTGATAGCGCTTGCATCTGCATAACAAAATTATTTCGGGACATAACGTGCTAATATGCCTTAATGCAAATTAAGAATGCCTTTTTTCTCTGAAATTGGAGTGATTGCTTTATGAAAGCTAATTGAGTGGCACGAATATAAATTATGGATTGCGTATGTGTTATGAGTGTACGTGCCAAAGAACTCAGACCAAAACCATTTTGAGAATGCAAAGAGAAGTTGTATTATAGGACCTGCTGCACAAAGCGGACCAGAGCTTCTAGCTTCTCCATTGCAGTTTCCATATGAGGCAAGTATCTTTCTTCACCCAATTGACCAGCTGCCACAGTCTCTGCTAGAGCTTCCTGGAGTTTATCCATACCTTGTGAAAGAGCATCTTCTGCTTGCTGGCATGATTGTTTAAGATTCAAAACATCTACAAGTTGCTGTTCTGTCAAGGGGTCAATGTGAGGCACGAGAATCTGTATTCAACATAGATTTGTGAATATATCTCAGAAAAAAAGTCGATCAGAATAGAAAATACGACAAAGAAAGCCCAGAAACACAAAATAAAATGAATGCTTGACTCAATGAAGCAGCCATTTGAATGATATAAGAACTTAATCACATGAATTAAATGATAAGATGCTAATCTGCAACATATGTTGGTGCCGATACTTGAGTCTCAACCACATGCAGAAGAAGACCAGGCATTACCAGTACTAGTATCGCCATGGGACAGCAAGCTCAGTCCTTGTGCATGGCTAGTTACATATGTTGGTGTCGATAGTTAGCCTAGGGAGTGAGGAATGCTCTATTAACAACCACATGGAATCAGCCTGACACTAAACAATAGCAGAACTCTTCAAGTCGAATTATCAGTACATATATACGTTTTACATGACTAGACAGGACATGCTGAGTATTAGTCACCCATGTCACTGTTGGACCATGCAATTCTAACACTTAGACATGAACTCTACCTAGCATGTCCAGTGCAAGACAACACAATAAACACAGTTTTGGAATAAATAGGACCATAACCATATTTACTTCAGAACAACATTTTCAGCCCCCTTAAATTTATGGAGTAATTTGCCAGTTAGGATAGCATCATACAGCTACCAGACCCACAGGTAAACATAAAGAAACTGTTAATATGATGAATGGCATTTAGGTATTCTGAAAAGAACCAATAATCTCTAACTTGAATAAAAGAAATATTTGCAGCAAAGGAGACAATGACTTAACACCAACTGTAAAATTAATTAACCAGACTGGCAATATGTCACACACTTTACCAATTGCCAGTATAATGCTCGACATGAAAGAAATTTAATACACTGACCCGAGCATCAGTGCAAACTGGAGTGCACAGATAAGTAGTCCATTTTTTAGATCAAGTTTCCCATTTTGGCAAAGAAATGGGATCAAAATGAGGTATTTCAAAAGTTCAAAAGCACCTTAACAAATAAATAACCTTCAACTGATAATTTTAAATAATTAATTCATCACCTTAAGAAGCTCTGAAGGGCGAAACCCCCAATCCACAAGAAAAACCTTTCTGCCGATGATTTCCACAAGCCAGACATCACATAGAAAACATCAGCTTTCGCTGCAGTTGCTTTCATGCGAAAAAGTTCAAAATAGTGGTTCATGTCGGTTTCTACAAGCATGCGGAGCTCTACTTCACTTATATGAGCATGCTCATTTAAAGCAGTACTCATATCACAAATATGTCTTTTTTGCTCCTCCAACCAGTGCCCATACTCCATCTCAAAAGTTGCAATCCCTGCAGAATCCTCAGAGTCAGCATATAGTTGATAGATAAATGTGAACGAACAAAATTAAAGTTAAACTACCAGAAGCAAAATGTCCTCAAGAAATTAAGAAAAAAGAACATAGAGAAAATACAGACATTTTTCAGGTGAGAGTCATATATCAACAGCAACCTTTTAAGACCAAGTTTCAAGTGCTAATTTTGGGCATAAGTGAATGATGAACATGTCAGTCGATAAAGGTTTTGAGGTTATGCAATCCACATTAATAGTAAGTAGCAGCTATGGACAATATATTAAATTGTTGATTCAAGCTCATTACCATGGGACATCAGTTTACCTTTTATTTGCCATTGAAGTGCATAATCATTATTTTAACATAATACATACCAATAGTGCATGAACATCAAGTTACAAGGATATAAATTAAATAATGCAACAAATCACTTCTACTTTGGTGGTCTCCCGTGTTAAAATGAGCTCAAACAAACTAAAAATTTTTCAACTTAAATAATTTTACGAACTTCTTAACAACTAATTTCCATATCCTCTTTTATAACTTTGTTATTCTCCAGTAAGAATCAAAAGGAGAGAAAAAGACTAACTTGGAGAACCCCAAAAAAAAAAACAGAGACAGCTGATATGATATGGAAACAAAAAAAAAAAAAAATACAAAATGAACCACTGATGTTTAAGAATAACTTTTAAGGTTTATGGCATGACACATTTGACAATGCCTACTGCAAAGTGAGAGAGACATTTAATATCAACTTATAGACCACAATCTGGGAGTGAGGCAGCAGAACAATTAGTAATAAAGTATTTTAGCAAACATACCTGAGTGTATATTTCCACCAAAACCTAGCTGACTAGCATCTAATCCACCACCTATATACGGACCCTGTTGTCTAGCTCTGCCAAGCTCCTGCTCCAACTGAATGAGCTTCAAACGACTTGATTCTAACTGCTGAACATAAGCCTGTAGAGAAAAATTAAAATTAAATTTAGTAACACTAAACTACTTATTGCTTGTAAGCCATCGGTTTTAATGCATAGTCCTTCCTACCTTCTTCCGCAAACGGCTTTTACGAGCAGCCTCGCGATTTTGTGCAAGACGTCTTTGTGCCTGTAATCACTCATATCTATAGTTATGAAGCAAGTATTCATATTATTTCAGAAATAACTCTCAAAGTTAATTATTTGTTATATTTATGTCAAGAGATAACAAACAGCAGAATTCTAAAGATTTATGGATGAAATAAATCTAAATATGAAAAATAATCATATTGTCAAGCATATCAGATTTATGAACATCATAAGGAACATGAAGAAGAATTATTTCAGCATTAATATCTTGATATAAAGATCATAATTAAATAGTGACTGAAACTATAGCAAAACTAAAGTTAGACTTCAATGGAGAAAGAAGACATTATCATTAAGAGATACAAGACATCCAACATAGTTTAGTAGAGCTGGAAATCCATATCTATATATGATAAGATTAAGATTATTTGTCTTAAAAGTAATTAGATAGAGAGAGAGATCTCCACAGCCAGCATCACTAGCAGACTTTACCTTATCCGAAGGTTTAGATGCTTCTTGGTCATACTTGTTAGAAGGTCCGAGAGTACCATGTGAAGTATCCTCTGACTAAAAACAAGTAAATAACAAATATGCTTCAGGTTGTAAATCCAAAAGCAAAGTCAAATGCTAGAACCAAGAATGAGCTTCCAACAATTTTCACCTGATTGTCTAGTTTTGAGTCCGGTGATATAATTATTGATGCAGTTGCATTTGGATTGCCAGCTATAAACATTGTTGAAGTACTAGGATTTCCATTACTCTTAAAGTTTTCTCCCCACATACCAATCTGGTGCATAGGGTCATAAATGCCCATCCTTCCGGGGGTGACAAACTGAGTGGATGTAGAATTCATTCTCCTTGTACTTGTGATGGAGGCAGATCAATAAGCTTTTGGCATAAATGCATAAATGTGGAGACGAAAATAATACGAGGTGCTGGAATTCAATTGAAAATGGAAGAGTTTCAGAAGTTGGGGCATGGAGTCATCACATTAAGCCTGTGACAAAGAACTGAGTAAAGAAAAACATGGTAAGACAGAGACTGACAAAAGATAAATTAAATTGACGTAGTAGTGCCAAACAGCAGAGAACTTGTAAGGGCAAAAAAGTGAAGCAAGTACATGAGATCCCAACTATAGCAATCTAGTATCAGAGAATCTTACTGCACATCACTATTCATGACTTTCTGGTATCATTTGAACCCTGGGGATGCAAAAGTAAATGCAGATTTATAGCAGATAAAGAAGAATCTTATATTCATAGAAGTGTACAAACCACTGACACTTCCACTGAATGGCATTCAGCAACCAGAAAAAGTCCATGTGAATGTGCTCTATCAGAACACTCACATAACCTTCTCATACAGAGAAGGAATACCAATCATGAACCCCTTTTTTTCCCATTTCTTGTGTCTCGGCTCATTCCTAAACCACCATTTTTAGATCTACTGTTTACTTGTCTCAATTGCATGCTTATGGTGGACCTGGTCCTACTTGCGTGATTTGCTATTGTGGTAGGAAATCTCCAAACATGTGGCATTTTTAACCATTTCCACCTCTTTTAGCAAGTTAGAACTTCCCAGAAATACTGAGAAAAAAGGTATCATCAATAAAAATTAAAGGGAAAGAAAATAGAGAAGAGGAGGAGAAAAAAACAAGCCAACTAAATTGTTGTGTTATTGTTGACAATGGTAATAAATGGACTGTACACTAGTGAAAGCTATTAAGTTGTCTAATTGTCTTAGACATATGACGATAGAGGTTGAAGGCACAACTCCAAATTGGCAAAATCATGCATTTCAGTTTGTTGAAAATGATAGAGAACAAATGATGGAAAATGCTTAATTAGTTGCGACAACGTAAGGCATATTAAAAGAGAGGAAAACCAAGCAACTAGAAAAAGTGTGTGTAATCCAAAACATTTCCTGAAGATTTTTCCACCATCAACTTTGTGTCCACAAAAGCACAAGATTAATATCTGGTACAGACGATAATTAACTACAACTCCCAAAAGCTGAAAACAATAGGCAATTCTCCTAATTTCGCAACTATGTTGGAATTTTGGTTTTCGGTCCAAACCAGAACATCTGCAATCGTAGAAGGAGAGGTTGGGAGCAAAACAACTTGTTTGCCTCAAAAAGAAAAGCAATCATACATCAATTTTTTAATCCAACTAGCCCCAGAAACTTGAAAGAAACTCACTTTCAGTAGACGAAAAAGAAAATCCAAAGACTAGCAGAAAATATTCAAAAACTCAAAAAAATTAGAACATCAAAAAGAACCCTTCTTCCAATCAATCAACCAATGATTCTTAACTTTCATCGCCATAAGCAAACTCAGCTATCCAGCATCTTCTAAGCAACAAATAATTCAAAACCACGTCAAGTCAAACATATAATCATCACACAAGCAAGACTTTTGGCTATAAGAAAACACAGAAATACAGAAAACGTGCAATTAATTAATAAAAAACACATGCATATATATAGTTTCAGCTTAAGTACAATTTAGCTAAGCTAGACTTGAACAGAACAGCTTGAAAAGGATTCGATTTTCTCAACTTTCTCAAGCCCTTTTCAACTTTCTGAACAACCAAACAGACTCCCTCAAAAACAAACCAAAAGAAAGCAAAAAAAACAGACCTTTTTTTCAAATCAAATCAACACGAGAGAAACTTTCCCGCCTCTGCAACTGCAAGAAGTAAAGCTAGAGGCAATTTTTGGAAATTTTCTGAATTGAAATCCAAAGAGAAGAAGTGATAGAATTTGTTGCAGTAATTCTCTCAAAACCACTAGTCCCATCATCATTTGCAACAAGAATCGAATGACAATAAGACACCTTAAAAGAGACTCTCTCTTCTCTTCAATACTGTTCTATATTCATTTGTTTATTTTCTTTATTTTCTTTCTTTTATATTTTTTTATACGTATGAAATTAAATATATGGCATTTTTAAATTTTGATAAGATATACTCCACAACTTTCGGTCTAAGAAAATTTTATTTTAAATACATGAACTTTTAGTGAAGTTAAACATTGGTCCATATGTTTTTTTTTTTTTTTTTAGCTTTTTTATGTAACGCAATAGTCAAATCTTAGTCCCCTCATACTACTTTTTTTTTTTTTTTACTTGACATGAACAAGTTAGTTGAGTAGAATGTAGGTTCAAATTCTATCACCTTCTTAGAATTAGATTATAAGAAAATAATTTTTTGATATTGGTATTGGTGATGATAACACGAAGAAGATTCGAAGATGTGATTTTAGTTTTAATTAGCAAAGGATAATCTGAGTATTTAAATTTTAATTAAAAAAGTTAAAATATAAATAACTTTTATTACTTTCTCTATTTTAAAGAGATTGTCTATCTTTTTATTTATATTAATTTTAAAATTCTTATTTGATCAAAATTTTAAATAATATATTTTCTTAAAATATCTGTAATTATAAAGAAAATCAATTTTTTTCCATTTTCTGTAATTCAGGGAAAAAAATGATATTTTTTATACTTTCTCCTTATACATATATATACATATAATATAAAAAAATTTAAAGAAATTTTGTTACATTAAAAATATTTATTTTGTAAGAATTTTACTTCAAGTCGAAACTTTTTAAGTAAAATATTTTCATTAGTATTTTATTTTTTATAATTACTTTAAACTTAATTGTTGATTAACTTAATAATTGTTCTTTTGATTTACCATCTTGATTTTAGATAGATTTTCTCTTTAAATTAATATCGATTTTATACAATGGAGGATGAAATTTGATAACTGATAATTTTAATTAAAAAAATTAAAAAATGAATAAAAATGTTAATACGATGTGACAATTAATAATTTTTTTTAACTGTGTCAAAAGAGATTTGAAAAAAAAAAAAAAACTATTTATATACATTAACAAATGATGAAGTAAAGAGAGATGAATGATTGCGTACAGCAGATGAAGTAAAAGAAAAGGATTTTATAATTGGTATAATCAATCAATTACAATATATCCAGACCACAAACAACATAAATTATTAACATTATTAGACTCCTGTTTTATTTACATTTTATATACTCACAAAGGATCAAGTAAAAAAAAAAAGAAAAAAAACTATTCATTTTTCATTAAAAAGTCATTTTAAAATTATTACAAATTAATAAGTATTTGCATAAATTTTACTCTTCTTATTACTTTGTTAATTTTCAAAAAAAAAACTATTTATAATGTTTTAAAGCAGCCATAGCACCATAAGGTTTCACAAAAAAGGAACTCCGCAGTGATTGGTGATAAATAATAACTAATGTCAATATTTTTTTTTTATTCTTATCTTCTATCGGAAGTAAAACTAATTATGTTTGAAATTCAAAAGAAAAAATTTAACTTCTTTCAAAAAAATACGATTTTAAAATTTAAATAATTTACCTTTGTCAAAATTTAATACGGAGAACAATTCGTTTATTACCGATCAACGACCCTTTAGTCATGTCAATATTTGATTTTAATCACTTAAAATTCACACATATACTATACATCCATCTACATGATATCTAACTTTAAGCACATCTAAATCATAAGCATATGCTTGCTTAAAGAGACTCCCTTTTTTATTTTGCTAATCTTTAATTTATTGAGAATTTTCTAATCTTAATTCTGAATATTATTATTTAAAAAAATACAATGTTGTTGATTATTGACTAATTAGTATTATTTTATTAAGTCTTGACTTTATTGGCTCGTCATGGGCTACAGAGAGTCAAAGTTTACACATACGTTTCCACTAACGCTAATATGCGCACCTGAGGATCTATCACTACTCCCCCTCCATGATTAACCTGCGCACCACCACTGCGTTTGTGATTGACGTCACTTACCGGTGAGGCTTTCAAGTAAATATAACAAATTTATTGATCTTTTAAGAGAAGTCATATTGCAATGGAACTTGAAATTTTGATACTTGAGTCTCAAGTGATAGACACGCGCAATTAAGGAACGTGATCCGGGGAGGTTGGAGTGAGACTGTTATTGCGGGAATGGAATCAGCTGAGAGTATCTGTGTTGTTATAGCGTGGAAACACGCGCTATTTTTCTGAGAGTAGCATTGATTTTTCGAGAATGGCATGATAGCGGCTGCGATTGGATTAGATGCTATATTTCTGTAGCTTAAAACGGTAAAAGTCAGCTAACGGATGACCCACGTGGTCTGCACGTGATTTGGTGAGTCGTGTTACGAAGGAAAAGGCTAAAGTGTCAAAACATTTCCTGAACTTTCAAAATCAGTTGATGAATTTTTAATTTTTAATTTGATTTTTCTGAACTTTATTTTTGTTTTAAGTTTAATTCATCCACCAATTTTCAGCAATTATCTCTCTTTCTAAATTCTGAAATATATATCATATATATTTTATTATCGTCAACCTATATAAAAAAATTAATAATAATTGATTTTCTATAATTTTTACACCCAATTCAATAATAAAAAATTAAAAATTAAAAAGCATTTCAATGCATATATATATATATCAAAAAAAATCAATTTTTTTATATTCTCATCTATCTTTTTCAATTATTTTGTGACTTAAAATCATCATGAACACACTCTTCTCATCAAAATAAACAACATAAATACAAAATTGGTCACAAAAAGACCAAAATTAGAGTTAATCATGACTTTCTCTCTCCTCTTCTCTCTCTAAATTTTGGGACCAAATTAAGATATAGATAAACTTAAAAATAAAAATAAAAATTTTGAAAACATGAAAGGCTAAAGTATAATATTAAAAAATTGAATATAAATACCATAATAAAACTTAAAAATTATGAAAATAT